TATTTATATGTTCCAACACGAATCAGTGTTTGTGAAACGAAAAAATACACGACTTATCCTAGAGTTACAACTGTTCATTTGAACAAGTAGAAACGTGTCTCTTAAGACACAACTAACTTATTCAAGTGTAAACTATATATTATATAATTCTAAGTTAAATGAGATTTTGATTATAGCTCAACAGTAATACACTGTTATTACATCAAGAGAAAATAAGATACAAATATAAAACATCAGAAACAACATAACCAAAAATTATGAAAATAGTAAATAAAGATACGAAGACTAACGTATGATTGATACGCTAACCTGTGAATAAGAAAACAAATAACAAACAATCGTAAGAAACCATAAGAAAATATGAGATCTTTCAAAGGATAGTATATAGTAAATCTACTATGAGATATTGGTTCTCACGTACCTGTATGTAAATCTGCTTTCAAAGGAATCAACGCTCAAGGAGATTCTGACACTCATGAAAGCTAATCGAGTATCGGAGACAACGACGGCGCATGCGGTTGAAGCAGATGTATCGGAATCAATAAATTAGGTACGCGTCTCGGATCTGGAACAAAACCGAATCTCATAACAAAAACAAAATCTGCGACCAAAAAGAAAGGAAAAAACAGAAACAAAAATCAGATCACAATGAAGATATAACCAGTTAGCATATACGAAACCTATATAAAATCATCTTATGAGAGAAAAAAAACATAATCCGATTTAATATATATGGATCAGTGATTAACAAATTAAAACAATAAAAAAGCTCATACCTTGATAATGAATACGACACCTGCAACCCAAACACTAGCAACAATATAATTATATAATCCGAGAACAACATTGATGTGTCGTGCTTTTAATACATATGCATATTACTGATAAAAATAAAATACGAAAAACGTCAAACAATAATAAAACTAAGCAACAATAAACACAGCAGGCAAAACCCTAAATCCATTATATATAAAAAATATGGAGGTACCTAGGGTTTCATTAAAACCGACTCATGGTTATGGACCAAAGTTTAAGGTGAGGCCCAAATTAACAAAACGAATCCGATTAGAAGCTATAATGGAAAACCGACTTTTTTTATCAAACGATTAGGGGTATTGTTATCAAAACGAATCCAATGGCAAAGGTGTAAATATGTAGATTTTATTAAGGGTACCATGTAATCAACCACCTTGAAATCGATGAGAGGCCGCCACGTAGGATTTTTTACTTCATATTTAAAAGAATAGATGAAATACCAATAAAAATAGAGAATTTGCACTTAATATCCAAAAACACTTACAATATTGGAAAAGTAACCAAAACCCCTATAGTTTTTCAAATGAATCCCCACAATTTAGTCATTTTTTTAATTATAAAAGGTTTTGGGTTATTTAGCAAATTGACTCTAAAAAATAGCCTACCTATGCATCAAGAATAATTTGACAGTTAGTTTCCTTTGCCACGAAAATGCTTATGTAATCTGAGGAGCAAAAGAAGAAAACATATTAATAAAACATGCTTCCCAAAAATTGAAAGAAGAAAATAGATCATTCAGAACAAAAGAAAACCAAAATGATAAGTTGATGATGTTTCATAAGAACAATCTCACTTAAAAACTAAATTGAACAACTCAACAAATGATTATTAACCTTACATGTTTTTCGAGAACATCCCGACGATTATTAATATGGATGTTATGTTAAGTGTGATACCAACAAATCCTAACTCACGTTTTCGAAATATAACAGGAGGACACCAATAAAATCATAATATACTTTTTAATCAAGGTCATGAATGAAAGTTTC